TTTCGGTATCCGTTATTATTTTGCCAAATCATTCAGGTCAGGTTTTCGCATTTGCTCTTCTTATAAGCGCTACGAGGGCTTTTTCCGAATTCTGCTTCTATTTGCCAGAAAATGGATGTTTTCGGTATCCGATATAATTTTAATCTTTAAGAATTTAAACTTTAAACGCTCTTTTCTCGAAATGTTTTTTTGGCGGTTGACGCAATTTCAGAAAAACTAACCGACATATTTAAAAAATTCTTGCGGCGTTGTATTGGTAGATTCATTAGCTACCGCGTAAACTAGAATAAACCGGTTTTACTAAAAATGATATTTTTTGTCCAACTTTTTTGATTGAAATAAAAGTGTTTTTTCGCATTACGTTCAAAAACACGAGTCAAATCGCGAATTTTCAATATTTTTCAATAATTATAATTTACGCAATAATCACGCAAATAAATTGTAAGAAAAAATTTGTTTTTTATTTCTGGCTATTAGTCTCGAGATATCGTGTCAACCATTAAGTCATCTCATTTTTTTTAACTCTGCGACTCTCAACTTCGTGGAATTTTGAAATAAAGATATCGCTGTAAAAATTTTTTTCATATATTGACATGTATATTAATAATATGTGAAAATATGTGAAAAATTAGAATCGTACGTCTTATAGTTTTCTATAAGAAAAATTCCAAAAAGGCCTTATTTTTAGTGTGGTTACTAGAATGTACTCTTAACCAGCATACCACAAGGTGAAGGTAAATAAATTTCACCAGTTAAATTTTAATAAATTTTATAATCGCAATTTAACAATTAAAATCAGGGTTGGTAAAGACTAATGTTTTTTTTGAGAATAAAACATATTATGTTTCTTCTTGAATATGTTTTTAATGCTTCAAATATGCTTTGAACAGTACTATAAAAAAAACATATTTAAAACATATTAAAAACATCAATTAAGCATGTTTTAAACTGTTTAAAACACGTTTAAAACGTTTTTTTTACCAACCCTGATTAAAAGTAAATAAGATTTATTTAGTGTTAATATTACATTCCGTTTATTAATATTAAAGTAACCATTGGTTCAATAAAATTTGTGTTATACGTATATTTTCAACGTTACCGTACACTTTATCGCGCATTATTAATTTTTTAATTATGCTACTACGTAATAATATTATTTTGATTGCATTTTGAATTGCAATGATAATTGTACCATGTTTAATATACCAAAATTACTCGTTCATTGGATAAATTTTTCGATAACTATACCCGCAGAATATCTCATTGATCGAACATGTCTCTCTGTAAATTATTGGTGCATTTCGTTTTATGCATAATGTTCTTTGTTTATCGAATGTAAACAAGGATAAATGATGCATCATGCACTCATAATCTATGAGGTACTTACGAAACAGTATGTAACATAGAGAAATTCAAATTTAATCTTATCGTACAACTTTCAAAATTTCTATACATTTTTTTCAAAATTATATTGACGACTGAAAGAGAAGACGTTTTCTCATCAACCATGGTACATACTTTTTGTTCCAATTCACTACAGAAAACAACACGACGACATAAAACATATTCGCCCGATTTGTGTCGACTGACACTATAATTGGACTGCTATAGTGCGCTGAGATTAAAATTAATCATGATTCTGATGATCTATATTCAAAAGAACCGTAATCCCAACCAAGCTGAAAGATATTTAAAAAATCTTAATAATATAATACCTATAATATAATATAATATAATATAATTTTAGATGTAAAATCTCGATTCCAGTCAACCAGAAATTATTTTTGATTGTTATGGCAAAATCGGAGATTTTCGTTTAAATAAAATGCATTTAATTATACACGCGCGCGCGCATCTTATTCATATCAAACCATAACCAAACAAAATTTTTCAAGCTTTACTACGAGAATAGAAGGTCTGTTATATACCTGCGAAAGAGTGATCCTAACGGACACAATTGTGGCGTACATCTGAAAGAAAGTATGCTATCATTATACTTAATAAAAACAGTTTTGTTAACCCTTTCGATCAAAAAGCAGGCGGTCCGTCGGAATACCGCCATAGATCGAACCCCGCGCCAAAAGTGTACACATTATATGTGGACAGTTTATGACGTTTAAAATTTCATTTTACGCCCGAACAGCATGAACAACGCTACCTTGACATGTTTATGAAAAAAAAAAGGATTGCCCCTTAAGGGGATCCTAAAGTCCTGTATTACCGACTAAAATACGTACAATTTTTGTATTGCGAATACTCTTTTTCTCTTTCACGGATTCGAAAATCCTTTTCCAGGATTAAAGTATACGCATTAATACGTTACTGTGAATTGGAGTCTACGCTGAGAATGATCAAAAATTTCGAAATCGATATATTTTTTACCATTTCTTAGTGTAACATGGCGTCTCAGCTGTCAAGTCGTGACAACATTTGCTTGATATGAAAGTTTTGCAACCTGTATGTACGAAATAATGATTCACAGTCACGTAATTTGCACAAATATACAACGTCGAGTTTTCAGAATTAAATTTAGACGCTTTATCGCGATGAATTCGCAATACGAAAATTGACACGTACGTGTGACTGCGTGTATCATAGGCTGCGTGAGATATTGCTGTGGTAGTATAAAAAGACATGTCGATGTGCGGCGCGCGGCGCGACATCTAGTGATTTTTCGGAGTTCGAGCTTTGGTTTAGGATCCCCTTAAAACAATATAATTATAATTTCTTTGTAAACTGTTTTTTAATTATCCCTTCCATATCATTGGCTTTATAGGTATCTGTTGTGAACTCGTGACGTTCAATCGTTGGCGCGCGCGCTCATGTCGATAAGTGGCAGCCATGGCGCTG